CCTGTTGTCGCTATATTTTCCATATGTGGCACGTGCCTACAGATCTTTTAATAAAAAAGAATGTCTGATTTTTTTTCCTGTTTGGCAATTCACGTCATACTATAAAACAGCTGGGCTTATTTCAATTTTGCCTATTCTGTGGAAAATGAACATATTTTCGCAAAAAAATTGAATGTCGGATTCATTTACAACTTTTCTTTTGAAATAATACAATACAAGATATACCACAATTATTATAAGATTCCTACCCCCAAATGTATCCCTACTTCATTTCTAACAAATTTCAAAATGTGATTTTCATACGTTTTCGTCCACAAATATATGTCTACACCGAACCATCTCAATTTTTTCAAAACATGTTCTTGGATGGGGTTTCAGAGGTTTCATTTGGAGATTTGCGCCTATGGCTTCCTTAGAGTTGCCGCATTTTTGACAGTTGACCTCACACATACAGTGAGACTGTCCCCTATTTGTAACCACAGTCTCGAGAGGCCGGCACCAAGGTTACAATACATATGTCAGCAAATTTATCTGTTACAACCATTTGGAAAATTACGATTTACTGTGAGCAATTTTAAATTTTAGCAGATACTATTAGCAAATCTATCAGTTACCACAATGCAATGATAATGTTACCGGATACTGTTAGCAAATCTATTAGTTACCACAATTGTAATGTTGCCGGATACTTTAAGCAAATTTATCAGTTACCACAATAGGTATGTTACCGTATACTGTTGATAAATTTATCAGTTACCACAATGATAATGTTACCGAATACTGTTAGCAAATCTATCAGTTACCACAATGGGAATGTTAGCGGATACTGTTAGCAAATCTATCAGTTACCACAATGGGAATGTTACCGGATAATGTTATTAAATTTATCAGTTACCACAATGGGAATGTTACCGGATAACGTTATTAAATTTATCAGTTACCACAATGGGAATGTTACCGGATAATGTTATTAAATTTATCAGTTACCACCATGGTAATGTTACCGGATACTGTTAGCAAATTTATCATTCAAGTTACCATAATGTTAATGGAATGTAACCGGATACCAGGAGCAAATTTATCAGTTACCACAACTGGAAATGTTACCATATTGGCCTGCTGAGAACAAATTTATCGGATACCACAATAGGAATGTTACCGGATACTGACAGCAAATGTATCAGTTACCAAAGCGGGAATGTTACCGGATACTGTGAGCAAATCGGACCACATTAGTAGTTTCAACAATAGAATTTAACGACATACTGTGCATGTACAAAAAAATATGAAATGAACATTTAAAAATGATACTTCCATATCGCGAGGAAATTTATCGTTGCCATCATAGAGGATTACATATTAAAGATAGAATGTATATAACCCTACTACTTAAAAAATGAGACTTTTAAAAACAATTAA